TTTTCTGTGTACGTGCAGGATGGGGATAACCCACGACCCAAGAAAAAGAAGAAAATCATGAAGAAGAAAACCAAAAGAAAAGGTAAGGACTTTGAAATACCACGAGACCAAATTAACCTGTGAACTAGTATTATTAAAAATTTGTCTTTATTCAAATAAAATGCAGCAGTCCTTTTTTTTTTCTCCTCAGCTTTCAAGAAACGTAACTAGACCTGAGGACAGCATGTCAGAGGATGTTACCAGCAGCTAATTGTTATAAAGTCTCTGTAAACATTGTAATAAAGAAACCATTCCTCATGACCTGTATCCTACAGTGAATGCATTGTAAGACTTTTTTTCCTCATGTCACCAGTAGAGGGCAGTCATGTTGCCCACTCAAAATAAACTGGCCCTTGTAATGTTAATTGGAACAAAAATATGGCGTTATTCTTGTGCCACTATTCTGAGCGCACGTAAAAACAAAATTGCAGTTGCGAGTGTTGCATTTTGAGGAGAAATTTATTTTGAGTGAAGGAAAGCTAAATTTGAGTGAACAAACTTCATTGCTGTGTGCAAAAAATGTATTTCAGTGTTTGCTATTATAAACACACACACACACACACACACACAATAGCAGCCCCTGTCGCTCAGTCTTTGCACTTGCGCTCTCAACATTTCTGCCCGTGCGCGCTCCACTCTTTCTGTACACAGTTATATTTGTGCCACAAAACCAGCCAATCACAGACTTGGATACAAAAAAAACTGATCGGCTGTTTTGGTCTCCAATCAGCTCGAAATGATGAAATGCAATATCCCAGAATCCATTTCGTCCAAAACTCAAACGAGGCAGTGGCGGAGGAACACAGAGTGGCAGAGTTTGAAATATTAATCTTTCTGGGTCACAAAATAAACTTTTAAGATATTTTCATGCGAGAATGTTGCTGTGTAAACTTTAAATATCTGCTCGATTCATCAAGACATCACATATTTGCATAACTGCTCTAAACGTTTTCAGAGATGCCTGTTACCCACCAGCTGACCGCATACCTGGACTTGTCATTGGGCATACCGGGCATTTGCCCGGTGGGCCGATGGTGATTTTTCATTTTTATGTTTGTTTTTGTAACGGTATAAACAATGAAAGGTGGTGGATTAGCCAATTGGTCATGATCAACTCTGGGCTGGACCAATTACAACACATCCGTATTGAGGGGAAAAGGAACGCGATTCGTCCCGGACTTCAGCGAGAATGGAAAAAGACACAAAGCTGGAGTTATTCTGTCTTTACGCTGTCAGCTGCCTCTTCTCCCCTCATTCTCTCCCCCCCTCTCCTGTTGCTACTTCAATCATGAAACTGATCAATGATCAGCTAATCGTCTCTTTTGTTTATTGCCCACTTTGCGCCAAGGTGATACAAATCATACATATATACCAACAAGACAGTGTACATCACTGTTTTAATTCAAAGGCTTTCTGGTTTTTCCTGTAATACCTGGTGGTGTAGTCGGTGATCTTTTGTCAGTTCAGCCTTATATATTATGTTTAACCCGAGTGACAACCCGGTCAGCTGGTGGGTAACAGGCATCTCTGAAAACGTTAGAGCAGTTATGCAAATATGTGATGTCTTGATGAATCGAGCA